TATATATATATATATATATATATATATATATATATATATATTATATAGGGTAAATTACAACCACCCCCCAGAGGTATGGTCAAATCACGAAAAAACCCCTCCTGTTTGGGTAATTACAACCACCCCTCAACTATAAATCTTTTTACACGTCCACCCATGCGGTTTCAAATATAGTGGAATCTTCGAGATTATATCGAATATTATCACTTTTGTACCCGTTTTATCACATTCGAACTCCACATTTGAAGCATGATGATCATAATATGTGTTTTTTGGCTTGTAGATATCAGATTGTGGTGCATCAAAAACTGTATTTTTACACAAAACGAGTACAATCTAGAGCACATTCCACGAAATCTAGATCATTATGTTGAATTTGACACCATAAGGGTGGAGGTGTAAGAAAAAATTATAGTTGAGGGGTTGATGTAATCAACCAAACAAGAGGGGTTTTTTCGTAAATTGGCCATACCTCACGGGGTGGTTGTAATTTACCCTATATATATTTATATATATATGTTAGTGGTTTTCTTTGTTCTGAGTCGACATTTGTTTTGCAGATTTAGTGGTAATAAATTGGAAGAGCCTCAAACACCTTTGAGGCGATCTGAACTGAGAAGGAACTCACAGAAACCAAAGTCGTCGATACTTGCAGGAGTGAACGACATGAATGATTGCCTGAGAAATATTAGCAGCACCGGGAGCTTATTGTGGAGAAATAAAAAGCCGTTTAGAAGGGCGGCTCGTAAACGTTCACAACTTGACTGTCTATCTCCATTCTATTATGTACGTGACAAGTCGTAAAATGTAGACTATAAATTATATAGATTATATTAATCGATTTATTCCATTGATTTCCATTCATCTCTCTCTCTCTCTCTCTCTCTCTCTAACTTATTTAGGATGTATATGATCTGGCTGCAGGGAGTTAGTTTTGATAATGTATTTTTTGATTAATAATTTCTGCTTATTATTATTGTTGCAATATGCTGCTGCCAGGAAAAGTAATGTGGAGTTGGATGTTATCTCTCGTTTGGTTAAATAACAACAGCAATTCTCCAATGATTCCACCAATTGAATGCTATATAAAATGCTCCGACTTATTTACAACAATATATATATTATTAATTACTCCCCCCGTTTCTAAATAATAGTCGCTTTTCACATTTGCAGAGATGTTAAGAAATTCAATAAATGTTGTTAGACGAAAATACTCTTATTTATTAATTAGTGCAAAGAGAGTGTTGAAAAGTTTATAAGGGCATAATTGAAACATATGTCATTAATATAGTGTTAGAATTCTAAAGTGACAGATAGTAGGGAACAAAAAAAATTCTTCAATGTGACGAATATAGTGGAACGGAGGGAGTACAACAATCAATATTATTATGTGTTTTATATTACATCGTGACTAAAATTTTGAAAATTCATAATTCCACCAATTCCTATCCGTAAAGTTCTGATTTTGGAAGAAGTTATTTCAGTTTAATTTACAAAATTCTAATTTTCGTTTTTCTAATATTTTTTGGGACGTAATTGGAATTAGTTTTTTACTTAAATAAAATTGAATTTTTTAGAAAGTTCTAATTCCGACCTGACCCGTCCAATTAACATCCCTAATCTTGTCTAATATATCAAGAATTATTAACAAAAATTCAAATAGAGAATTTCTTTTATTAAGTGGGCAATTTGTTAAACATCCATGAACTTTAATTGCCTTTTAAATCAGGACATACCAACTTTTGAAATTTATTAGAAGTCCTGTGTTTTTCAGATACTTCACACTCTGGCAAATCCCGTTCAACCCTATTGCATTCTGTTAAATCTGTCATTGTTGAAAAGCTCTGCCACACAGGTGCACACACATAATCACACACTTACATACACGCACACACAGACACACGCACACACATACGCTTTTGTTTACACTCTTTCATTTCCACTGTAACCTAATAATTGTGGAAACCGGGATAATTACATTTTTGGTCCCCCATGTTTGCCCGCTTTTCCGTTTTGGTCCCCCATTTACCGCAGTCAACAAAATACACTCTCGTTTTATCAAAATTTAACACATTTCGTCCTGCCGTTTGGTTGACCGTCTGACTTAACAGTCAACCGTCATGTGCCCCGCACGTGACTTCAATTAGGGCTTAATTTGCGTTTTTTCCCCCAAAATCACCATTTCTCTCTCTCTCTCTCTCTCTCTCTCTCTCTCTCTCTCTCTCTCTCTCTCTCTCTCTCTCTCTCTCTCTCTCTCCACGCTCTCTCTCTCAATCTCAAATTCCCCAAAATCAACATTAACATTTCTCTCTCTCTCTGCCGATTAATTTCTGGGTCGAAGAAGAATCAACAAGAAAAGAGGAATTTTTCGAAGGCCATGTCGCGAAGAAGCAAATTCTCTGGTGGATTTGCCCCAAATTACGGTAAGCAGAACTCAACTTGAACCTTAATGTACTTTTCTTGTCATTTACAATGTGGCTGATATATAAATATATAAATATATATTTTTTCCTTTCTTGGGGCAAAAAATCATTTTCAGAAAGAATTGGGATAAGTACTTGGTGTCCTGTTAAAATGTTTTAGGGGGGGGGGGGGGGGGTACTGAAACATGGTCCAGAAACGAGGTACATAGGTGGGAGTGAGGAGTTTTTTGATTTTTCAAAACCTGCTGAGATGAGGATGCTTGATATGTTGATAATGTCACGGGAGTTGGGGTATTCTGATAGGAAAAAAATTAAATTTTGGTACAAATTTGGGGCAAATCTGAATATGGGTAGGTACTTGGAAACTGATACGGATGTTGCTTCTATGAAACCTATTAACTATGAAGTTGAAATATACTTAGAACAGTTGGGGTTAGAAGAAACAGTGAATGTGGTACCTACCTTGCAAAGTCAAGTTGCATCATCAGTCATTACTGATGAGCAAACTGACATTGTTTTACCTGAATTACCCAATGTTGAACCCGAGTTAAGCAATGAGAGTGACAGTGAGGAAGATGGTGATGAGTTTTATGATAGTGATTATGACTTTGAAGAAGATGACAAGTTGTTTGAAGCCTATGTAGATCCAGATGCTGAGTTTGGTGGGGTTAAATCAAAGGGTAAAGATAAGGTCTCTGAATTTGTCTCAGATGATATGTATACTAGGATGCTTAATGAAGAAGGTGATGATGACTGTGTTAACAGTGACTCAATGGGCAGTGACTGTGGCTCTGATGATGAACATAGGGTTAAATTCCCCAAGTTTAATCCTAAAACTGACAATAAAAACCCTGAGTTAAAGCTTGGGTTGGTTTTTTCTTCAAAAAAAGAAGCAAAATTTGCTATAGAGAGCCACTGCCTTAGGAGGGGGATGATGATCAAGTTTTACAAGAATGACAGTAGAAGACTGAGGGCCTGCTGTAAGAATGATGGTTGCAAATGGTCAATACATGTTTCTCCAATGCAAAATGACAAGACTTGGCAAATCAAAACTTATGTGTCTGACCATAACAACTGTTATTGGAACTACAACAACAACAGCCTCAAGTCCAGCTGGATTGGTAAAACTTTCATGAAAAAATTCAAAGAAAATCCTAAGTTAGGCACAACTGAGTTCAGAAATGAAGTCTGCACAACTTTGAAAGCAAGTGTCTCCAAATCTCAAGCCTATAGGGCAAAGCAAAAGGCACTAAAGGCTATTCAAGGTTCAGAAGAAGAACAGTTTCAAAAAATAAGATCTTACTGTGAAGAACTCAAAAGAACAGACACAAATGCCACTGTTGTTTTAAAATTGACAGAGGACACAGAAGGTTTGAGGTTTCAAAGATTGTACATTTGCTTTTCAGCTTCCAAAGAAGGGTTCAAGAATGCTTGTAGACCTGTCATATGAGTGGATGGGTGTTTTTTGAAAGGGCAGAGGGGTGGGAAATTATTGGCTGCAGTTGGGTTGGATCCAAACAATAACATATACCCAATTTGTTATGCTATTGTTGAGGGTGAAACTAAGGAAACCTGGATGTGGTTCCTTCAGTTGTTAGATGAAGACATTGGCTTTGAGGAACAACACAAGTGGACATTTATGTCTGACAAACAAAAGGGACTTATCCCTGCTTTTGAAACTCTATTTCCAGGTGCAGAAAACAGATTCTGTGTAAGGCACTTACACAGTAATATGAAGAAGGATGGCTTTGGGGGTATGGCAATTAAGAGTGCACTGTGGGCAGCTGCAAAAGCCACTAGGATTGAAGAGTTCAAGAGGAGAATGGAAGAACTGAGGGCTATAGATGAAGCTGCATACAATTGGTTAGTGAAGAAGCGTCCTCAGAATTGGACCAGGTCTCATTTCAATCCATTTCCTAAATGTGATATCTTGTTGAACAATATGTGTGAGTGCTTTAATTCTTTCATCCTTGATGCAAGAGAGAAACCAATAATACCAATGCTTGAGTGTATAAGAAATCTGTTGATGGCTAGAATGGTGTTGAATAGGGAAAAAAGCTCTAAAATGGGATACAAACATTTGTCCCAAGATCAGAACTGTCTTGATAAAGAATATGAAAGAGGCTGGTGAGTGCATCCAATGAAATCAGATGAGTGGAATTTTCAGATAGTGGGGATGTATGATCAGCATACTGTTGACATAAGAGCAAAGAGTTGCAGCTGCAGAAGATGGGATTTGACAGGTATCCCTTGCAAACATGCCATTTCTGCCATTTGGTGTAGGCATGAAGACCCTGAGCAATATGTTCATCACTGTAAGTTGACTCATATAAAAGAGCATATGAAAACTCCATTTCACCAATAAATGGACCAAAATTTTGGCCTCAATGCACTTTGCAGCCTCCATTACCACCAATGTATAAAGAAAAAGCTGGTAGACCACAAAAACTGAGAAGAAGAGAGCCAGATGAGCCACCTTCTGTTGGGGGAACAAAGTTAAAGGGGGTCCCAAGAATTAATAAGTGCAGAAAGTGTGGGCAAGCAGGGCATAATGCTAGGAAATGTGGAGGAAAAAGAAAGACTGTGGAAGAAACAAAGTTGATCAAGGTGTGCAAGAATCTAGGGAAGAACCTGATCAAGGTGGGCAAGAATCTAGCCAAGAACCTGTTACACAACAAAGCACTGCTGCAATGAATGTTTCTCAAAGAGGAGAAACACAAGTTCCACAGAGGAATATGCAGGTAACTTTATTCATTTTTTATTCAATGTTCTTCCTCTTTTCAATGTTTATTCTTATTTTAGTTTATATCACTGTTGTAGGTAAAAAGGCCAACAAAAAGGCAAGTGAATATGACAGGAACTTCAAACACTACCTCTACAATCAATGTAAGTGTTTACTGAACCGTTTGATTGTTTAATGTACTTAATGGTTTGTTTACTGAACCTTTTTCTTTTTGTTGATGTAGATGCAGATCAATGAAGGTTCAAGTGTAAGTACTCCTGTCATTGTCAAGGGAGGAGTTAATTTCATCACAATGTCCAACCTCAGATCTGCTTTTGGTATCCAAGGCTCTACAAGTTCTGCAAATCCATTCACTGCACCAAGGCCAGCCAAAAAGCCAACACAGTCAAAGAATGGATCAAAGAAGACCACATAACTTGATGTTTTTCCTATGTTTCAATTGTTGGTGCAATGACTTTTGGATTATTTTATGGACATGTACTTTATTTTGTTTGTTTTGTCATCCATTGGAATGATGTTACTTTACTTTGGTTTGTTTCGTTTGTTTGCTGTTGTTATGTTCATTTAGAATGTTGTTTAATTGGAATGTTGTTCATTTGGAATGTTGTTATTTGGAATTCTAGATTTATTCAGTTGAAATGTTTTTCAATTGGAATTTTTCTGGGATTTGGAATCCTTCAGTTGAAATGTTTGTTCAGTTGGAATGTTTTTCAATTGTTATTTTAGTTGTTATATATATTGATCTCATTTGTTGGTCACCATCACACAGTAGCAAACATTACCATCACACATTTGCATTCAAAACATCAATAGTCTAAACCATTCATTACATTCAAAATATGCCAAAATATGCATTACAAAAGTCTATATAAGGAGAACATTACATCAATTGAGCTTCAACATCAGACAACATTACATCATTAGAGCTTCAAAATCATATGCATTGCTATAAACAAAAGCAAAGCAAGAATCACAACCATCAACTTCATTACTTTCTTCTTGTATAATTCAAGTTGAATCAACATCTTCCCTTGGTTTTCCTTCTCTTCTTTCATGTCATCTTCCAATTTGTTCAATTTCTTCAACAGTCCGGGAATAATTTGTTTTGACCTTCCACACATTTCTGGTTCGACCCACTCAAAATAATTGCAATGTGATACTTTCTGTGACAAAAAAAATAAAATTGAAATTCATAACTGGAACAAATGGCACCCCTTAATTTCTGATATTTACTCACCATGTAATTCGCACATGCAAGAAATCGCCGCCCAGGGTTTTTATCAGTCCACGAAGTGTTTATTGGAAGCTCAATTCCACATTTACATGTATGAGCTTCGATTGGAAATGATCTTGCACTCCAATCCCCAGAATCACTGCCAGTTTGCTGTTTTCGATTTGATGTGGTCAATCGACTACTCATATTTTCAAGAGGGGGAGAGACAATTTCGTGATTTGGTGTTTGGATTGTTGAAATTGGAATTTCTTCCAAAAATTAGGGTTCTTGGAAAAATTGGGGAATTTGAGATTGAGAGAGAGAGCGTGGAGAGAGAGAGAGAGAGAGAAATGGTGATTTTGGGGGAAAAACGCAAATTAAGCCCTAATTTGAAGTCACGTGCGTGGCACATGACGGTTGACTGTTAAGTCAGACGGTCAACCAAACGGCAGGACCAAATGTGTTAAATTTTGATAAAACGAGAGTGTATTTTGTTGACTGCGGTAAATGGGGACCAAAACGGAAAAACGGGCAAACTTGGGGGACCAAAAGTGTAATTATCCCTGTGGAAACCAAACCCAAAAAATATTAAGAATTGTTTGGTGATGGTGATGTTGGTGGTGATGTACACATCATAGATTTAATTTTTTTTCCCAGCTAATTTAACTAAGAAGTGTAACTAAGCTATGCAAATAAGCCGTCTAAGTTGTCTAACTAAGTTGTCTGTGTAAATTATGCATGTGATGTGGGAAGCGCATGCATTCTTGTTTTAATTTTTTCTTCATTGTATTTTAATTAAACTGTTTCTTATTAATATAACTAAGATATGCAAATAAACTGTGCAAATCACTGCGTTGCTGTTACTGTTAGTTTTCTTAAGTGAGTCCGTTAGCCCGAGAGCACACTGAGACTTTTAGGAAAATGCAAAATGCGCGTGTTCTTATAGCTATAGAGAATATTTTTGAGCAACCTTCAACTAATATCCCCTTTGTTAAAACAATCGAGAGTGCGGTAGTATATAAATAAATGAATATATCAGTATTTCGAAGAATTACATAAATAATAGTCCAAAAAAGGGCTAAAAAGATGTTTACCAAAAGTAGGGGCACGACAAAAATAAAACTGAAATGTTAATTGCAGCAAGGTTTTAAGTGGCCGTAGCGAAATTTCAATCATTTTAAACTTTTAACTTCGAAACTCTCTTAAAAACCGAAACACCTTCCCAATCATTCGAAATCAATTCAAACAATTGAAATTCAATCCGACACTTACAACCCATCTTTAACAGGCCAAAGTATAAAAATGAACAATTACTATAGCTAAAGATAATTAATTTAAGGATAAATTACGACCACCTCTGAGGTATAGTCAAATTACGAAAAATCCCCTCATATTTGGATAATTACATCTACTCCTTAATATTAATCTTCTTACATCTCCACCCTTATGGTGTCAAATTCAACATAATAATCTAGATTTCGTGAAATGTTCTCTAGTTTGAACTCGTTTTGTGCAAAAATACAGTTTCTAATACACCACAATCTGATATATACAAGCCAAAAAACACATCTTATGATCATCTAGCTTCAAAATTTGGAGCTCAAATGTGATAAAACGGGTCCGAAATCGAGTATTCCATATGATCTAGAAGATTCCACTAAATTTGAAACCGCAATAGCAGACGTGTAAGAAGATATATAGTTCAGGGGTAATTGTCTAATTTAAATTTAGGCAGTATAAGAAACAACGTTAATATTGATTTGTGTGTAGACAACAAATGCATTCACATTTCCCAACGGCTTCTTCTCTCTACAAGTGTAATCGATACTTCCTAGAATACACACAACAACACTACATTCATCTTCTCTCTTCAATTTTATTTCTTCAACTGTAATTAATTCCTTCCTTCCTAGAAGAAGATATTATGGTAAAGAGGGAAAATCCAAACTTTTCCTTGCCTCCACTTCGTGATGTACCGCCGGGTTTTCAACCCCACCCACCCAAACCCTGCACCTCCGCCTCCGCCTCCGCCGCCGCCGCCGCCGCGGCTGGGCAATGCCCTAATTCTTACCGACAGAAGCCGCCGCCTCCGCCCACCTCACTAAAAAGACCGGATGGTCCACGGCGGAGAGGACGGCCGCCTAAAGCTCGATCGTTTTCCCACCTTTGTAAGTTTTTTTTTTAATTGTGTTTAGCAGATTAATTTAATCTGCACTTCTGTATGAAATCGGTTGCTGTAACCCTTTTGAGCAATAAACATGATGTACATTTGTGTGAGAGCAGGAGGGGTAAAATGGTAATTATCGGATAATTAATGTATGGATTTTGTTTGTTTTGGTATACTCAAATAATTCAAGAAATGCAGGCTAATTGTTCTTGAGCTACACTTTTGGATTTTTTTCGTGTTTTTTGTGTTTCGTTTTTCTAATTGGTATCTCTCGGCGTTACAAGCTCTTAGGTTCTTGCAGCAAATCAAGCAATCGAAGCACGACACGTCGATCAAGTTACTTCCTAAGGATCAATCGAGCGACAAAATGGGCTCTCACAATAATACTCCTCCATCACCTACAGACACGGTTAATCTAGCATTAGTGAAATGTGCGTAGGCTTTTCCTACTCATCATAACAAGGAAGAGGCCGTCTTGAATACGCCATTCACAAAAGTCCCTTGCCCAGTCAGCAGCAGTTTCGAAGCAGTGGGAAAAACTCGGGGCAATGTTGACCTCAATATCTTGCAACAGGTGGCAAATGCTTTTAACCACAACATGCTTGAAAATGCGGTAGATGGCACAAAAGTAAATTCGAGATTTTCGGACATGGACAAAAATCTTGCCGATACGCTTAAGGCAATTAACGAAAAATATGGGGACATTACTAAAGATTGTTCGTTGGAGTCGGATTGTATGAAGACGCTTGTTTTGATCGCGTATGTAAGGTGGTGCAAGATCTGCAGAAGAAACAGTTGGAAGAGCTCGATATCGGTTTCTTGGATTCTTGTTATACAGCTGTGAGGGATGCGGAGAGTATGAAGGTGAACGTGCGGTGGTTGAGTAATCGGCTTGACGAAATCAAAGACGCTGTTCGGTCGAGCGATGAAGGGAAAAGGCTGGTGGACGAAAGGAACAGGCGCCTCAAAAATATTGACAAGGAGAAGAGAGAAGTGTCGCTGCGTAAAGCTGAAATGGAGAAACTGAAATCTGAAATTCGAGATCTCGAAGATCGACTGGTGCAGGAGGCTGTGTTGGTGGACGAGTTGAATAAGAAAATCAGCGCTCGAACGACGAGATTTTCGCAACTACAGAACATGTATGTGGTGGATGGGCTTGTATAACAATTACGTGTTAATCGCGGCGGGGAAATGTCGTTTTTTGAGCACTGATCGAATCTCGAGAGATGCTCGTTTTCTAACTGGAATGGAAATGATTCCCTTTTTGTGCAAAATGTTTTGCAAATGTGTACATGAACACGATCATATATGTTTGATATCTATATGTATGAATTAGAAAGGTTCGAATGGTGACATAGTCGTTTGAAGGATTTGCACATAACCCCTTAGGACTCGTTTGGTTGTGTAGATTAGGCATGATTAACCAAATAATAGGACTTTGTTTGATGTTTGGTAACTCGAAGAACTTGCTGGGTCGACTCGTAAATATTGTGGTATCATGGCTTATCTTCACTTTAGCCTTAGGCATATTTTTCGATGGGATGATATAACATCTAAATCAAAATTATATGATAAGTTTATGGATATAAATACTTTCACTTAATGTTTATATGGAAATAATTACTTATCTAAAATAAGAAAACAAATTCCGCATATCACTCGTCTCCCTCGACTTCTTAACTCTATCGCATCACACATCATCTTATCTAAAATAATTCCAACAAATATACTTCACAAATTATAATAAATAATATACTGATCGAATGTTGAGGAAATAAATATGAGATTTTTTTATTTTTTTGAGAAAATAATTCAGCTTTAAGTTAATTTAATGAATAATTATTTTATTTTTGCACTTTATACATTAAAAAAATACCAAAAAGGAAATATGCAATTAAAAAGATGAATTTGCCTAATTTACTATTAAAAAAACAATTTGGGGTGCAATTCAAATAGTTTATTGTGTTATCAGGGTGCAAAATGTTATTAATTTTTTTTTTGGGTGCAAAGTGGCAAAATGATATATTTCGAGTGTGCAGAGTGGAATATATTATAATAGATATATATTCAAATTTTGAGACTCTGCCAAAACAATGAAAAAGAGAGTTGAAAATTGAAATGAAGAGAAACGAAGCTCTGAACAGAGCATGCACAGAAAAGGGGAAAACAACAATGGCGAGCAAAGCAGTGATAAAGAAGGAGCAACTTCAATTTCCACCGGGCTTTTCTCCAAAACCAGAACTCCGATACGGCGTCGCCGCCAACTCTTCCCCTTCCGACGGCGCATTCAACGGTGGTGATAAATTGAATGCCCCGACGCAAAATCAAATTAAATCATTAATGCAGCAAGGTTCGAAACCAGCAAAATCAGATGAGAACTGCTCGAACTGTAAAAGAGAAACCGGAGAGGCTCCTCTCACTGAAACCCTCCGATTGTCTGGACGACGCCGTTCGCGTGTCCACAAGCTTACGGACTCAGTAGTGAGTTCGTTTTATTTTTCCCCAATTTAATTACTGAGGAAAATGAGTATTTAAAATTTAGTGTTGTAATTAAACTTTTTTATTTGCATTTTTTTGTTGGAAGTTTAAGTAAAAAAAATGGAGAGGTTTTTCACCATTGTTGAGAAATAGTTAGCAGATTCATCCACCTCCATGAAAGCTAAAAAAAAGGGTGTTTTGGCTCAGGCTGTGCACTGCACGCCGGACACTAGCCGATATAATCGGTTTCTCGAAAATGAAAAACTGTTAACGTCGGTTTTCCTTTCGATTTTTAGGTGGTTTTGGGTTTATTTTTTCAATTTTATTTGCTGCTTTTGATTTTCAGTAATTTTCAAGGCGAAAAGATAGACTGATGTGCATGTCTTCACGTTTGTAAAGAAATAGAACACGGCGATCGATAGTGGAAAAATAAAAACAAAAACAACAATTCGGTGTTACGTGCTTGGGAGCACGAAATGGATGAATGAGTTTTGTGTTATAAAGCACGAAATAGTGTTTTTCTTATGTTTTTCTTTTATCATTTCGTGGAGTTTTCACGAAACAACAGCTCAAAACTTTGAACTATTTCGTGGAGTCCTCCACAACATAAAAACTTGTGTTTCGTGGAAAGAATCACGAAATAGTTCAAAAATTTGACGATTTGGTGAAGTTCTCCACAAAACACATGACGAAATAGTTCAATTTTATTTCTTTCTCTTCTAATTAGTTATTGTTATTTGTACATGAAATTAATTTGTTAAATGTCTTGTTTCACAGATGACTGGTAAGGGGAAGCCACTTTTTCGAACTGTTGCTGCAGCAGCCGATTTGGAGGCAGAGCAACAAGGGGAGCGGATGACTGCACCGACACGAAGTAAGAGAGCTGCTGTAGTTGGGATATCGGGTGGTCATGCCGATAACGGGCCTTCCCATGCCCCAATTCATGATTATGCTGAGGTGGAGGAGACGATCGAGCCCGCCGCGGAGATCGAGGTTGTTGTACCTCGTAGAGGTCGTGGTGGTCGTGGCCGTGTGCAGGCGAATCCTGATTTGTTAAATGGTCCTTACCCAGGCGGCCCAGAGATTCACACGTTGATACCTAGTTTCAAGTCGCACATAGCGGCATACATTTGGAATGGAGAGGTAAGTTTATTAATGTTTTTGTTTGATAAATTTAATTTTTTTATGTTAAGTTAATTTAATCAACTAATATGTGTGTTAAATATTAATTTTGCAGGAGCGTCCGGTGGGGCGAGCAGAGTCACGTATCAACTCCCTGAAGAAGTTTACATACGACAATATTGGGAAAGGCTTGGCGCCCCTCGGCATAGATGTGCAAGCAGACAAGGATTATTTGCAGATGACCGGCTTGTTCGACTTACAACACTCGTTCATATCGCCCGTCGATGCCCCGTTGTTGTTCGCGTTCGTTGAGCGGTGGCAACCCGAGACGAACAGCTTCCATATGCCGTGGGGAGAAATGACCATCACTCTCCATGACGTCCAGAAGATATTGGGTGCTCCAGTGGAGGGACATGTCGTATCTTCCAGTTTTGACGAGGATACGGAACGGGCGCACTGCGTGTATCTCCTTTCTGAGATGATGGACCTCGGTTTGGACGAGGTGGAAGAGGTATGGAAGAAGGGTGGTCCCACTTGGAGGATGATCTATGATCAGTTGTTGATGCCCGGGCAGAGCATGACTCGTCGGGTTCAGAGCTATTTAACTTTTCTTATTGGGGCGACCTTGTTCCCCGATAAGTCTTGCGATAGGATTAAGCCGTGGTATATGCGCATACTCGATGAGCCCGAGCTTAAGAATGTCGGGAACTATTCTTGGGGTTCAGCATGTCTGGCCTATCTGTATAGAGAGTTAGGGATATGCAGTCGAGCCATGTCTAAAGGGTTGTCTGGTTGTACCACGCTTCTCCAGGTAAATTGATTTACGTACTTGTTTTAGTTTTAGTTGAATATTTTGTTCTAGTGTTTATATAACTGAATTATTTTGACTTATTTGCAGTGTTGGATATACGAGTATTTTCCTTGTTTACGTCCGGAGAAGAGCGTACGACATCGAGAGCTCTACCCGCATTGCAGGAGGTGGCAGTTGTCGTCAAAAGCGGGAACATTACAGCATGTTCGGGATATACTCGACAATATGAGCGGGGAGGATGTAAGTTAAATTAATTTACGTGTACATCAATACTTCGATTTATTTATACATATTTTGATTGTTTCGCGCACATAATAATGTAGGTTTATTGGCTTCCGTACGGTCCGGGTGTACACACGAGCATCCCTCGTACGTTGTATCATGGCACGATCCAGTACATGTGGATCGTAGAGCCGTATATGCCAGATCGTGTTTTGCGGCAGTTTGGGTTCGTTCAGACTATTCCGCGAGGTCTCATCTCATCGATGGAGCCATGTACTCGCGGTCCGAGAGGTGGTCAATCATACAAAGTCACATACGCGGCGCCTGGTGGCATGTGGAACATGCTCGACGATCATTCCTTACGGGTTCGACGACTTCAGAAGGCACGACATCCATGTGCAGTCGTCGATGATTACATGAAGTGGTACACTCCACGGACGCATCCGAGAATCGGGAAGCCGAATGTAGGCCCGGCTGTAGCACATAGGGGGTTAAGGCCACCGGACCAGCCGCACTATTACCAGGTAGTACGTGCCTTGTACCCGATTGTAGCGCATCCTGGACCGGACTGGTTGCAACAGTTCAAAGATATTCGCACCAGCCTGGCAGAGATTATGCGTCCTGCTGCCCGATATATCGGCATCGAGCACGGTGAGGGCAACAATGATGACGATGATGATGGTAGTGATGATGATGTTGGTGGTGATGACGTGCAGCCGATGAGGAGAGCGAGGCGACAAGATTGATTGTCACTTTTTTTTTTTTTAATTTAGTAGACTACCACTTTTGATTTCATTTTTTTTATGTACTAGAAATGAGTAATTATGTGATTTAGAACTATGTTTAATCGTCATTTTAATTTTAAACATTACAAAGATATAAGTGATTTGAGGATTAAACAAAATATAAATTAAGTGAGACTGTAAACAAAATACAAATTAATTGATTGTAAATATAAAGACTAAAATACAATTTAATACTACTGTACTGTCCATAATCCATCATCTATTGATTATTTACAATTAACTTGAACGAACAATAATATTTCTTTTGTCGTCCATGCACATACCTTGCATACGTTAAATACTGTCCATTTCCCATTTTAGACTAAATAGTCAAATGATGACAATGACTAATTGTAGTGTCTTTCATCCACATAATTAATGCATCCCTACGGTGGAACACGACATCAACATGAAAGAAGTGACTGCAATTATGAGATTCTCTTGTTATTGTGCATACATCAAAAAGAGATAAAACTTATTAAGTCAATTTTAAATTAAAAAAAAAAAGATTTTTTTAGGGATTTTGTGTAAATCTACACTAAACGTATGCTTGTACTTCGTGTGAATCAACACGAATCAATAAAATTTCCGACATTTTTTTAGTTCATTTCGTGCTGAGTTACATGAAACGCAACTCAACATGGAATGAATAAAATTCAAAATCTATTATCATTTTTTGTTGCGTTACACGAAATGTATCAACGAATTTCGTGCAATCCAACACCAATGAATCAAAAATGCCAAAAATTCGATTGGAAAACATGTAACTTTACCTCAGAATCGGACTGGTTTCGGCCATATTGATAATGATGTGTTCTAAAAATAGTGTTATATCTCAAAAAAATTTATTTTTTGCACTTAGATTGTTCAAAAATCAAAAGCAATGACATTTAATTTTACTTTTTATTTATACTTCAAAAAAAAATTAGAAAATGAATATTTGCAAACAAAAATTCAAATTGGAGAAATAGGAGTAAATAAATAGTAGTACTGTCTGAAACTACACTAGTTCTGGTAATATTCTGACATGGACGTGTTGGTACTTTAGCTGCAACCAACTGTTACCCAATGCCTTCAAACCCTTTACTCAATTATTTATTTATTTATTACTCCCAAAATAAATATTTATTTAATATAAAATAAAGGGTAAATTACACCACCACCCCTAAAGTATACTAAAATAACTTTAAGGTCCCTGTAGTATCGATAATTACACTCGTCCCTTGAAACATAGTTAGATTTAAGAAATGTCGGGGGAACCATGTCACCCCCTAACCCTATGTTGTCTCCACCAGTAGCTAAAATTAATATCCGTTAGAACTCTATCGGAATAACGCATCCAATGCATTATCCCATTACAGTTTCTAACTATGTTTTAAGGGGGTAAGTGTAATTATCAATACCGCAGGGATCTTAAAGTAATTTAAGCATACATGAGGGGTGTAGGTGTAATTTAACCTAAAATAAAATAAAATAAAAGGTGGCCTTCTCCTTACTTTAATTCAAAAGCTCATCAAGATTTTCTAATTTCATCTCACCTTTTTGTCTTTTACCCTCCCTCCCTCTTTCCTTCAGTCTTTGCTCAATACTTGTATTCCTCTCTCTCTCTCTCTCCTCTCTTTCTCTCACACACACTCTCACACTTTCACTCACACACACAGTGTCCCACATTCTAAATCTAGGGTTTCATTTCCCCTTGTTCTTTTTTCTTTTGATATGCTCGTAGTTTGAATTGCTGTTGGATTTCACAGCGCATAAATTCAAGTGGGGTAGGTAGTAGTTTATATGGGTTTTCTGCATTTTCACAACAAGCTTTGATCTTTGTTCTTGGCGTTCAATCGGTTTCAAGATTCAATTTTTTTTCGATTCTTGGATAACCCTTTTGTTACTGTCACGGGTTAGAACACTCAAATTTACTGATTTTACTGATTCTTTCATTAATTACTGAAAAACCCATGTTAAACCCTTGTTAAGGGTACTGATTGTAATTATGTATCTATCTTGTCTGTGCTTTTTTTTCTTTTGTTTTTGCGTTTAGGGTTTTGTAGTTCTGATTCTAATTTGGTGGGTTAGTTTCAGATTTGCAAATTGCGCCTTAAAAGGGGGGCTTAAGGACTGTTTTTTAGTGTGGAGAATTGACAGTAGTTCAATTGTGGGTTTTTTCTTGACAAGTAAATGAATGGATGGGAGAGAAGGCATGACATTACAAGGGCCGGCAGCTTCGTATTACAACAATAGAGGAGGGTTTGGTGGGTCTGTTAATTCCGGGCCTAGCGGAAATATTCATGGCTCCGGCGGCGGTGGTGGTGGTGGTGGCTCAGCCAACCCACAGGGTGGTGGTGGTGTGATGCACGCGCCGCCAGTTTTCAAGAATCTGTCGAATCCAAACATCTCACTGCATCCCCATGTAGGGATCAGTGGTGGAAGTGGCTCGGCGTTCCGTGTGGAAAACCCGTCGCCGAATTTTTCTCATGGAATGAGTAGCATGGCTGTTGCGCCGAGTGGGTCCCGCTCGGGCGGAGAAACGGTGAAGAAGAAGAGGGGTAGGCCTAGGAAGTATGTACCCGATGGAGGAGCTAATATGTCGTTAGGGCTGTCCCCTGTTTCTGCCGCCACTCCCTCGTCTGAGCGGATTGCCTCAGGGGAGAGAGCACGAAAGGGGCGGCCGCCTGGCACAGGGTGGAAACAGAAACTCGCTCCTCTTGGTAAGTTTTGTTCGAGAGTGTCTTTTCTTTCAAAATGTGATTTTTTGTTGTCAAAAGTACGAGTCTTTAGGGGATACTGCCTCTCGTTTTCCTCTAAATTCACATGTTTCAGTATTCATATCGATTTAGTTATTGTAACCTTTGTACTCTAAAAAAGATAAATCTTTAATCAGGCGAATGGATGAACGCCTCGGCGGGACTAGCATTTACACCACATGTACTACACGTTGAAGTTGGAGAGGTACGTTTGCTCCATTTCCCCAATTAATTATCTCGACTTTTCGTCATCTAAGTATAACAATTTCCTCATCCTTTATCTCACACAAAAGGTTTCCGACAAGTTTCGTGCTTCCTTTTAGGCTTGTACTCTAACGAAAATAACGATATACGATATCTGTTATTCACGCAGTTATGCTATTGAGCTTGTTTGTTGAAGTCTGTATTCCAATTTTGTTTATGTTAGACCCTCTGACGACGACTTTATTCAATAATCCGTCAATTTGCATTAGTAATATTTATGTTGCAAGAATATATTATTCATTGCGACGTTTGTGCAGGATATTGCTGCAAAAATACTAGCATTTGCACAACAGAGACCGAGATGTTTATGCATCATGTCAGGTAGCGGATCGGTTTCGTCGGTGACGCTACGCCAGCCCACGGCTTCTGGTTCCAACATCACATTTGAGGTTGACGCATTTTATACTCGTCGTATAATTCTTTATGCAGTTATATTCGTAGTAAAGACGGCGTTTTTTCTCTTACGGAATTAGTGCCACATTATTTCTTTTAGGTCCGGTTTACAATTTTATTTTTTATTTTTTTTTGTTTGTAAGCAATTATTTTATGGTGTGTCCTTTTGTACGAGCTATTTTATTTTCTGACTGACTATTTCTAAATTAAATAGGGTCGTTTTGAGATACTGTGCTTGTCCGGTTCGTACTTGCTCTCGGAAAGTGGTGGGCCCCGCAATCGGACAGGTGGCATCAGCATCTCTGTGTGTAGTCCTGACGGCCATATGATTGGAGGTGCAATTGGCGGTAGTCTTATTGCAGCAAACCCTGTGCAGGTATGTATTTTTCGTCTGTTTTATTTTTCTTAGGCCTCGTTTGGTTGTCACAATTAAAAATATACGTAAATTGGCCAAGGATCCAATACACAATTCCCTAATAATGAATGATAATAAATAAATAAATAAATAAACGTCAGCTCGAAAATATTCATCCCTGCCCGGAAAATTATTTGGACTAATGAAATGTTTTTTTTCCCCTCAGGTGGTTGCATGCAGCTTTGTGTACGGCAGTGCAAAGGCGAAAAACAAAACCGAGTCGGGAGAAACAGACGAAAAATATCTTCTAGAACAATCCGGTGAAAAGTCTTCTGCTAGTCAAACTCTCACTCCCCACTCCGGACCAAGTGGTTGGCCGCCCGGTTTACGACCGGGTATCAGAAATCCCGAGGCGGAGTTTGACCTAACTCGTGGATGATGAGAAACACTCACACATGGCGGGCGGTTTTTTTTGTATAAATATGCGTATGAATTTGTGCTAACTTATATCATCATGTAACAAAATATCGCTCCTTAGAATTTTTAAGAAAAATTAGCAATTGGTAGAGAATTTTATGGTGGTTATTGTAATAGGTCTAGTATGTTGTTGTAATTGGTCAAGTGTTATCTTGTAGAAGAAATTGTTTTAGTAAATTGGCGGAATTTGTTCGTCTTTATTCGTCGGTACTTTGGGCGGAACCCTAATAGTGAAAAATCCGTGAGCATTTCGGCTATAGATTCCGGTACATTGTTTGAAAGATTGAGATTGTTCAATGTTCATCATGTTAATGCGTATAACTAAAAGGGCGAAGTTCACTTTGCATCATCGGTTGGCTTTCTTGTTACCAGCATTTATTATTTTCTTACCATTTTACCCAATTATTCGTTATATATACAGTGCAGCTGCCTCATTTTTTACCTTTATTTTTATTTTTATTTTTAATTTGAAATTAATTTTATTTTTGCTCATTTTTTCTTCTTAATTTTACTATAATGTCCGGTGGCAGCTCTAGTTATCATAATTGAGTACTCTGAGCTCAATTTCATAGGGCATTTTAAACCAAGCCAAATTAGTAATCATATACCTAATTTCTTTAATAAAATCAAGTGTGTCAAGATTGGAAATCAAATCAGGATAAACATTTATCTCAATGTAAGTCTAACTCCCAACATACAAACTCCGTAAACAGGCCTCCATGATGGATGTTAATTACAAAAAATGATATGTCATTATAACCTACCGAAAAATATGCTCAAGCTAATACAATATTAAAATAAACTAAACAATTGCATAAAAAATTATCCACATTGTTTGCAAAATGATTATGTTAGAAATAAAACAAAGGAGACAATGACTTTATATTTCTTATTTTGGCTGAGATATTTCTAAGTAATAAAGTTCACATATATTTCTGGTTTATGAGATCCTACACTTGGTGAAATACACCATATGATTTTAAAGTGTAGATCTACATAAATAACTACCCAATAAGCACTCATACACATAGGTATGTGTGTATTTTTTGTATAAATCAATGGTGCATCTTATTATGTATACATGGTATATTTCACCAGGTGTAGGTTCTACAAACCTATATTTCTCATAGACTACAAATGTACATGTAAGATTGTAATTGCACAACAAAACATTACAAAACTAATATCTTTACATTTCTGTAAGTTTGAATTTGACCATATAACATAGAGAGATATTTGGTACGTTTGGTAATTGAGGGGTGTGTATGCGACACATCCCATAATGCAGGGGTGCAAAGTGAATTTGCTCAAATTAAAATTACATTTTACAAGTTTTTTTATCTTAAATAAAATGGTATAGGTTATTATTATTTTTCTAATAATAAGTAAATGGGCGAATGGCAAAAATGTCCATTACATGGTACTTAAATGCATTTTGGTCCACAAAAAAAATATTCTCTCAATTAAACTCATCCCCATGTCTTTAGTCTAAAATACCCTCCATAATATAATTCTTATCAATTCCATCCATTATGCTCTAAATTCTTTAATATTACACATTGACCCCGGATTTAAACAAATATATCACATTAACCCCCAAATTTTTTTTTTCGGCCAGATTCCGGCGTTGACCGCCGGAGACCGGCGTTGACTTTTTTTTTTGAAAACTTTTTTTTTCGTGAATTTTTTTTTCCGGCCAGTCAACCACCGTTGACCACCGGTCTCCGGCGTTGATTTTTTATATTTCGAATTTCTTTTTTCTTAGAATTTCTTTTTTTAATTAATATTACTGTCTTGGTTACTAAATTACTGTCTCAGACAGTAA